ATTGGCCGGGATGTGTCAGCTGACCGGAGTTCGCCGCGAACCGTTCGCGACATCTCTAGTCAACAATAGTATATATAGGAAAGACTCGCAGGACTGCATTATGATGTTGCTCTTTTGCAGTATGCATGTTGATATTCATTACTCAGATGAGGAAGGGTCCCCGTCCCATTTAAGTTCACCTTGGCATCGGTGTTTGGGTATCTCCCTGTCCTCTATAGGAAGGGGGAGAGGCCCCCACCATTAGCACAGTTACTTGTCTTGTCTCATGCGATTTTGTGTGCCTGGGTGGCGGAGTCTGTGTTACGCGGGGTCCCCGTATCATTGTTTTCTGGGCTATTATTTCTTGATGTATAGGCTATAAATGTTATTTCTTTTTAGTCTATTAGAGATGTTTATAGTGTCAGTGTATGTTCTGAATGAGTAGTTAATTATTAGTCAGTATTGAGGTGCATGTCAATCCAATGACCCTTCTCTTGTGTTCTGCGAGTTGTTGTATTATGCAGGTTCCTATTTAGGAGGACTAGGTGCCTCCCCGGGCTTGTAGCCTATGAGAAACGTTAACTCTCTATTCGAGGGTGATTGTGTTGCCCAGGACTCGGCCCAACTCCCCCACCCCCTTTATCCCGAGGGTCCTGAAATAGATTAGGTAGAGAGTAGAGAGAAGATAGGAAATAGAGGAGAATATAGTGAGTAGGTGTTTAGAATGGTCTGTGTTAAGTTGGGTCCGTCCCCAATGTTGCCCCGTCTTCAGAGCCGGAATCCCCCCTCCACCTTGTGAACCAGGCTGCGTGTCTGGTTCCCCTACCTTCCGCGCTCTGTATGTCCTCCACTCTGCGGATCCACTCTCTTTTTGTGGGTATTTTGCTTCTTTTCCAGTATACCGGTATTTTGGCTTTGGCCGCATTTAGCATGTGACGTAGTATTGATTTCTTATAAAGTGGGATTGGTTGTGGAGAGATATGTAACAACGCAAGGTCTGCCGACCAGCCGGGTATGTCCCCCATGATAAGCGTCAGTTCCTCTTTGATCATTTCCCAGTATGGGGCTATGTCTTGGCATTCCCACCAAATGTGTAGCATTGTGCCCCTTTCCGATTGGCATCTTCAGCACGCAGGTGGTGTCGATGGGAAAATTCGATGTAATAATACTGGTGGTCTATACCAGGATGAGATCAGCTTGTAATTCATCTCCTGATAGTATGAGCTCATGGAGCTTTTGTGTTGCCATATCAGTGCCTTATCCGACTGCGGGGTCGTAAAACTTCTACCCAGTTGTTCTTCCCATTGTCTTTGAAATGTATCAGCGGTCTTCAAGTCACCTATTACTTGGTGTTGGTAGAGTGCTGAAATCGCATGTTCTAATGGGGCGCGTCTCTCGCAGAGATCTTCAAACCAGGTGAGGTCCCTGTGCAGGCGTTCTTTATGTGGTATGGCGTTGTAATAATGCTTCAGTTGCATATGCCTAATTATGGTGAGTGGGGTCTGAGGTCTACCCTCCTGTGCTGAAGGAAGATCTCGAATTCCTCCCTCCTGTAGGGATGTATTCCTTGATGCTTGGAATAGGCCAGGCTTTAGCAGGCAAACCCCATCCTATTGCCTCATTGTGTGTGATCGGAAGCATTGGGCTTGGCATGGGGGAGATGCTGAACTGGCCTCTCAACAACTTCCAGCTTCGTAGGGTATGTAGTACCATTCCGCCATCGTGTTGGCGTGCCTCTGGGTCCCTCCCATATCCTTGCCCCTATCGTTGGGCCAATACAGCCCCTGTCCAGCATCACCCACTGCTTCCGTGTGGGGTCCGTATGCCAGTCCAAAATGCACTGTAAGACCATAGCTTGATGGTATTTCTTAAATTCTGCCAACGCTAATCCTCCATAGTGTCTGGGCCGACATAGGATTTCGTGTCGTATTCTGAAACGTTGACCTCTCCATACGAATTTAATGACTGCGGTTTTAAGGGACGAGAAGAAGTTCGCTGGTGGTGTGAAAGGTATTGTCTGTAGTAAGTACAGGATCCTCGGTAGTACATTCATTTTGAGCACCGCTATGCACCCGTGCCATGTAACCTGCGGGTATGCCCATCTAGTCAGGTCCGCTTGTAAGGTCTTCAAAATAGACAGGAAGTCTTGTCGGTAAATTGTCAGTAGTCATCCAGATACCCAGGTACTTCATCTTGTCGTAACACCAGTGAAAGGTGAACTGCGAGGCCAGCGCCGTAAACTCCTGTTTAGGAATTGCGATGTTTAGTACCTCACACTTGGAGAGGTTAAGTTTAAAGCCTGCCATCTCCCCAAATGGATCGAATTCCGAGAGGAGGCTTGGTATTATGATTCTGGGGTCATAATACCAAGAAGAGATCATCCGCGTAAGCGGCCATCTTGCCATTCGTAACCTTGGATGTCCGGGTTTTGACGTATCGCCTGCAGCAATGGTTCCATGGACATTGCAAACAGCAGTGGTGATAGTGGGCACCCCTGCCTAGTTCCGTTGTTAATAGCGAAGTCTGCTGTCGTGGCTCCATTAACCCTCACGGTTGCTCTCGGGTTGTTGTATAAAGCGGATATCCAGGTTAGGAGTTTCTGTCCAAGTCCCATCTGTCTTAGAGTTGCCAGCATGTATGACCAATTTACGCGATCAAACGCCTTTTCAGCGTCCTTTGAGAGTAATAATACACGAGTCCCAGTCTTCCTTGCATGGTGTTGGATGGATAATAGTCTTAAGGTACTATCTCTCACCTCCCTTCCTGGTATGAAGCCTGTTTGATCTGCGTGTATTAGGTCTGGGAGGAGGTGTTTAAGTCTAGTCGCTAAGACCTTTGTTAACAGTTTGGTATCCACATTTAACAGCGAGATCAGGCGGTAACTACCGCATGTCGTCGGGTCTTTTCCTGGCTTGAGTAGTACTGTTATGGTCATGGCCAGGGATTCCGCTCCAAAGTTCCCCCCCTCTGCCACTGCGTTAATCGCTTTGGCCAACCACGGGAGTAGCACCCCAGAGAAATTCTTGTAATATCCGGTAGAGAAACCATCTGGGCCCGGTGCTTTACCTGCCTTAGCTGTTTTTAGGGCTGCGGCTAATTCCCCTGTGCCTATTGGTGAATCTAGTGTTGTAGCCGAATCTTGGCTGATCGTGGTCGTGATCGTGTTGTGTAAATAGTCATGCACCAGCGCTTGTTTGTGGATGCCTTCGGCTTGACCCGTAGGTGGATATAGGTTATAGAGGGCCTGGTAGAAGCTCCTGAATTCCTCCGATATCTCCTGTGGGTAGGGAGTCATAGTTTCCATATTTGTGTGCGGGGTACGTTTCCTTTCAGTACTTTTGCCAGGTGTTTACCCCTTTTATTGGCGTGGGCATAGAAGAAGCCCTTCGTACTCTGTAAGGATCAGAGGTGTGTTCGCACAATGAGGTCTTTCAGTTTTCTCCTTTGTTCCATCAGTTCGCCGTAGATTTCATTCAATTGAGTTCTCTTATGTTGGCGTTCCAGGGTTGATATTTACTTGTATAAGTCAGCCATCTCGCACATACGTGCCTTCCGCTTTTGGGATGCGATGCAGATAAATGTACCTCGTATGACACTCTTGTGGGCTTCCCCCAAGGTTATCGGTGATGTCTCCGAGAGTCGTTTTCCCGGAAATATTGTTCTATGTCCTGAGTTATCTGTTCCTTGGTGTCGGGGTCCAAAAGCAAGGCCTGATTAAGTCTCCAGGTCCATGTAGATGGCCAGAACATGGGGGACTCCAGTTCCATCTGGACCAGACCATGGACCGACCAGGTGGCAGGTTCAATGGTCGCATTCATGAGGCGTGAGAGTCCCTCTTGTTTGATAAAGAGGTAACCAGGCTCTGCCCAAAGATAGTATACCAATTAGTTTCCTTGTCTTGTCTGCTCCACCGGATCCCCCCCACCCTCCCATAGGGTGATAGACTTTCACTTGTGTTTACATACAAAAGGTTGCACTTCTGTAGTGTGTAACAACATGTGATAACAGAAACATAATCTATATCAACATTCCCCCTTACCCAAGTTTTAGCCCGTCTAACTCCTCGACATCCACCGTCTTTCCTATGTACATATACTTCCGTAATGGCCCCTCTGCCCCTTCTCATCCGTGGCCTAGTTTGTGGTTGGCTATTCCTTCCGGTGTTTGTTATCAGATCGCTATGGTCTGTGGCCCCAGGGACCCTGTCCTGTTTCTCCACATCACTTCCTGGCCTCGGTATGTCTCATGTCACATTCATCACAGTAGCCTGGGCAGGGGCAATCATCCTGGTTATCTGTGCTCATCCCCGTGTCTGTTGTGATTGTCATGTATGTCATGTCATCTGTCATTGGTATTGAGTTTAAGCTGTCGGTAAGGGATTGTCTGCTTCCAGGTAGTGTTCGGTCGTCCCATGTGGGTGTCCATAGGGTAGGTGCGGAGCAAGTGTCTCATATGTGGGGATATCGTCTGGTGCCTATTTGGGGGTGCATGTGTGACTGTCTCCCCTATGGTCATTTCCCCCCCACGCCCCCTCCCGTTTCCTGGGTTGTATGTAACCTAGAGCTTTGCCCCATGTTCTTCAGATGGCTCACTGTATATCATAGAGCTTGTACGCTGAAGTGCGCCTGGATATATTACATAATAAACAGTATTCCTTTCCCAGCTCTCATGTGCCTGTAGAGTAAACACTTCCCTCCCCCCATTGCTGTACCAGGCAGATGGTTATCGCTGCTTCGTTGTGTCCAACTCAGGTCCATTAGAAAAGCATCCCAAATGTCAGACAGGCAAAGAGAGTGTACCGCAATATAAGAGGTCAGCTTTATTTGCCCCTTTTTGAGCATGAATCCCAGTGCCGTTATGTGTGTTCGCACACCCCCCCCCCGGACAGTCCCGGTACCTGCAAGTGTCCCGTGTACGGTTTTACCTCAAGTCCCTCATCTGGTATGGTATAGCAGTCCTGGGATCATGGTTATGTCAATTGCCAGGTCTGTGGATGTGACACAGATTCAGTGGGTGTCGTGTCAAAGTGGGCCTAGCTTCCGGGCTTGCAGTGTGGCAATCGCTGTCGTGTGTAGGTGTTTGTTCTCATTCTTCCGGGGATGCCGGGTTCCTCCCGATGGGTTTCTTCTGTTTCGGCGTCTAGGAGCTCTTTGAGGGCGTGGTGGCGGCCCCTGTGGGTCTAAAATCCAGTTAGGGACTGGTGTAGGTTCTCTTCCATGAATCCTGGTACTTCTTCGGGCCACCGCAGGGAGATCCATCCGTTTCTGTGTCAGGGCAAAGGGTAACCCCCATTTATAAGTTACGTTGTTGTTCCGCAGGGCTGAGGTCACTGGCCGGAGTGCCCGTCGTGCTTCCAGTGTTATGGAGAATAGATCGTTGTAAAGTGATACTTGCGCTCCCCTGTAAGGCCACGTAGGTCTTTCGCGGGCCTTCTTCATAATGGCGTCTTTTACTGGAAAAGAGTGTAGACAACAAATGAGGTCCCTCGGGCCCTCCTCCAGTGACCGCGGTCTCAGGGCTCTATGAGCTCTCTCAAACTCAATTTGTTGAGGGGTGTCCATGTGCAGAATGGCCTGGAAGAGTTCCGCGAGAACCTCCCCAGCGTTCTCGTCTCTATCTGTCTCTGGAACTCCACGGACACGTATATTGTACCTCCGCCCTCTATTATTCAAGTCCTCGAGGTGTCTCCTCATAGCTAACAGCAGTGCGCCCTGTCGAGTCACTGCCGTGTCCGTCGTCGTGAGTTTCACCTCGAGGGCCTCCGTTGTCTCCTGTACCACAGCCATGCGGCCCACGAGGGTAGCCACCTCCGCGCGTATCCCTGCCATTTCAGCTCTTAGGGTGTCTTGGATTGTGGCTGTGAGGGTGTGCAGGTTGGCTTTGGTAACCATATTGGCTGCCATGCTCCTTAGCTCATCCCCTATCTTCTCCAGGGCCGATTTCTCTGATCCCGCTGGGGACGTGGTCGTCATGTTGGGGCTTCCTGTCTCTCCACGTGTGCCGGATTGCGGCTGCAAGAAGTCGTCCAGGGGGCCTTGCTGTGCGTTTCTCGGGGTCTGGGGTTGCTCCTGTCATTTAGTGCGACCCATTGGTGCAAAGTACTGCTTTTGAAATGCTATCTGGGGGTCCGGTGGTACGGAGATCTCGGGTTAAGCGTCCATCTTGGTTGGGTCCCAGGCCACACCTGACCTGCTTAGTTTATCAGTATTGTGTATCTGTGACATCTGAATTTGGCTTGTTCATTAGTTTATATTTGACTGTCCGCATGCCTATTCCTTTTTACCTAGGTGTTAAGTCGGGCCTTGCTGCGGACCGGTAATATGTATTGCTTTTCTTTAACTCCAAGGTGGTGTTTAATAGTATCCTGGCACAGCTATGTGGATTGGAATCAGAAAGCTAATCATTCATACCTCTTTGAGTTTTGGCTAGTGGCAAAAGAATTCCGCACTAGCTGCATAAACTAATCTGAATAAAAGAATGAATCTGTTTGGATCAGGCTAACCGTATAAAAAGGAAATAAGGAAAATAATGTTGACTGAACTTCTGTATATCTGCTTGATCTTGCCTAGGTGAAAATAAATATATGACATAAGATTTGTTCCACTGATATATGCCGTGAGGGTCTGTCCACTGCTTTAGATTCTTATAAATAATTAAATGATCATATTAGAATTTAAAACTATTTATATCCATTCAGGGCTTGCCATCTCTATCTCTGCTTGTGTTTATTGGCAGAAAGTACTGTTTATTGATCATTTATTGGGGCTCTTTGCTGATGGGTCCTATTGTATTGCTAGAAAGATTAAATGACAAAAAAAAGACTTTCTGAGAAAGTTGTGTAATTTTGCAGCACTGAGTTTGCAAGTCAGATCACATTAATGTTGTCTAGGAAGCAATCAGACTCAGTGAAGGAGAAATGGAAGTACTGGTACGCTGCGCCAGCACAATCATCTGAATCCGCCTGATTCATTGGGAAGCAAAGCCCCCCAGCACATCACAAAGGCTTGCTTGAATAACGTCTTGTGTCAGCTGCTCCCAGCAAAACTGGCTGACATAATGTAACAAACAAAGGGTGAGGGTAGCACGCAGATTATACTAGCCTCCCCATAGAGTATTACACGTAGCGTGCAGAGTATACTATCCCCCCCATAGAGTATTACACATAGTGTGCAGAGTATACTATCCTCCACATAGAGTATTACACATAGTGTGCAGAGTATACTATCCTCTATATGGAGTATTACACATAGCGTGCAGAGTATACCATCCTCCACATATAGTATTACACATAGTGTGCAGAATATACTATCCTCCACATAGAGTATTACACATAGTGTGCAGAATATACTATCCTCCACATAGAGTATTACACATAGTGTGCAGAGTATACCATCCTCCACATAGAGTATTACACATAGTGTGCAGAGTATACCATCCTCCACATAGAGTATTACACATAGTGTGCAGAATATACTATCCTCCACATAGAGTATTACACATGGTGTGCAGAGTATACTATCCTCCACATAGAGTATTACACATAGTGTGCAGAATATACTATCCTCCACATAGAGTATTACACATGGTGTGCAGAGTATACTATCCTCCACATAAAGTATTACACATAGTGTGTATCCTCCACATAGATTATTACACATAGTGTGCAGAATATATTATCCTCCAGCTAGACTATTAGACACATGGGTCTCTGCAGTCTGCACCTGTGTAAACCGGAGCGCAGAAGCTTGCTTGGGCTGGTCCCTTTTTACCTACTGTTCCAGTATCTTAGTTGTGTTTTATTGGAAGTTATCGTTTGTTTTGTTTATTGTACAGCACTGCTGAATATGTTGGTGCTATATACATAGTTGTAGTAATTATACAATCCTCTACAAAGTGTATTACATGTGGGTATCTGCACCCAGAGGAATCCCCTCTGCTCCTGTATATACAGGGGTATAATAGATAATATAATATGATAGAGCCAAGCAGTAAATGTGAACTGGTTTGAGTTCTGAATTGTTAATGTATTGTGTAAAAATATCCAGTGCTGTGTGGTGCATTGTGACGCCCAGTATTTATATTGTGTGACATGCGGTAGTACTAAATTGGTGGAGGGGACACTGCTATTTCTGTGAAATACGCACAAAGAGCGTTCTAATCATAGGTTTACAAAGAATGAAAGAGTGTTAAACATTTTAAATACGCCCAGCGACCCAATTTGTGTTTGATTCCTATTTTTAAAACACAAGTTTTAAAGAGAAAGAATCCCGTTGGTTGATTTCAGGCTGTTTCAAACCTATATGTATTAGCAATATTAATTAATTAATAACAATATGATCTGACATTGTGTCCTCCTATTACCCATTTATCTGTGTGATATCTATGTGTGAAATGGCTCTTTCCTTAATATAGAAATCAAAGAGATTTATCCAATGCGGCCTCGATTTAATATTGTTTGATAATTTTCCAAATTTATAAACTTTTCAAATGACCTTTTCAACATATTAAACATCAAAACAGTTCAAATCTATTTATCAAAATATTAATAAATGTAAATATTATAATATATCAATATTAAATCATTTTAAAAGTTTACCCAATAATAGTAAATCATTTGGAAAACTTAAACAATATTAATATTAAATCAAGGCTATTGTCACTAATATATACCATTTCAAATATATTCTTTATGGAAGTTTCTGACTTGTTGAAAACATAGTCCGTCAGTGTAACAATAAGATGGTTTGTTCGCAACGCAGTAAATCCTGGACTACCAACATTTATATATACCGTATGTTTCTGTGTATAAGAAACCCCCAGTGTATAAGGTGACCCATATTTTTTAAACCAAAAATTAAGAAATACTTTTTTAAAACATCTAATAGAAAACAGAGCAAAATACGGTGGCTAGCACTCTATACAGTAAATATGAATTGTGACAACAGGTATGTGCACAGTATACAGAAAGTGTTAAAGTAGAGGTATATACATACACTTTAAAATAAACTTTATCCAGAGGAGTTTCTAAAAGAGAAAAGGCTCACATAGGGCAATATAATCTGTATAATGTCCACACAGTGATAAAATACAAGTGTGATAATACGATCCTACTCACATTTTAATGAGCCCGTATAAATGTCAGGCTCAAGTAAATAAGCACAGGTAGGATGTATATCCTCAGCTTCTGTGCTCTCCCACAATGATCATATGGTAAAAGGTAATGAGCAAAAGTTAGAAGTAAAATCTGAACAGTTATTACAAAATCAATAAAAGCTGATGAAGGCGTCCAGCCGAAACGCGTTGTGCTTTATTTAAGAAGAATCTCTGTTTGCAGCTTGTTGTGCTCCTTATATGTATGAACTTTTATTGATTTTGTAATAAATTTTAAGATTTTACTTCTAACTTTTGCAGTGCTGTACACTGCCCCATGAAGCACCTCTAGTAGCCATCTGAGGAATGGCCACTAGAGGTGTTTCTAGGCTGTTCCTATCCTCTGCCTTTTCTCTTCTATAGACACAGTAAACAATGCTGTAATTTTATCACATGACAGGAGGCTTCCTATTTTGCATAAACTTTCTTTACTTTATGCCTCCAGCAGCACAAGTCAATCAAATAAAGAAAAAAGATTTGACCAATCAGAGTCCAGTACATCCAGTATATAAGTCCCTGACAGGCTCTCCATTTCCTCTTTCTTTGCTGCTCCAGCCAAGGCACAGGTCAGAGTAATTTTTTCTGCTGTTACTATACCTTTAATTTTATTGCCATATCTGTGTACTATATTGTAACAATTAGTTATCATAGTGCCCTTTTTTCCCCTCAAGGGCTTTAGCTATTTGCAGATTTTCTTTCTTGTTGGTGCTCCTCTCCCTGCCTCCCATCTCCCTGTCTCCCCTCCCTGCTCTGTACAGACCTCCTTTTCTCTGCACGACCGCGGACAGCCGCCGCGATCATGCTCGATTTTTAGTGCAGGTGGTCACCTTCTGGGGGGGTGGGGGTCTGAGTGGGGGGGTGGCTCGGGTGGAGAGAGGGCCCTTTTCGGTCGGTTAGCTGGCGGCCGCGATCGCGGCTAACACCGCGACCGCGGACCGCTCAGCAATTTTGGCGCGAACGGCGGCCATCTTGGATCCCGCGGGAAACCGCGAGATCCAGGTCGGCCATCTTTAGTACTGGCAGACCGTCATTCAAACGGTCTGCCTTGCAACTCCCACTACCCTCAACCTTCACCTGAACTACTCACAGGATTAAAGGGACATTGACAGCCTGTGGAAATAAAGTGGATATATATAATATAATTGTACACTCTTGGATGTTTGGCTACATCTTAAAGGGACATTGAACCTGGAAAAATAAAGTGGATATATATACAATTACTCACTCTTGGATGTTAGGCTGCATCTTAAATGAACAGTAACCTGTGGAATTAATGGGTTTACTGTTTGCCTAAATACAACTGTGGAACATTACTATACATGCATTAAAGAGACACTGCTTACCATAGCATTAAGTGTACTCGCCAGAGGTGACCCCTCTGAGTGGGGTGACCCCCCACAAGCACACTGATCATTGTTATTAAAGGGGTGACCCCCCTGCACTGGGTGACCCCCAGGCGTGTGCTTGACCGCACCGAGCTGTAACAAGTGTTGGGGTGACCCCCCTAATTATATTCTGCACATTACCTATACCGGCACCCTCTACATTACGACTCGGGTGACCCGTAAATTCCTCCTACCCACGGAGGTGGAACCACGGAAATTGGTTCCCACTGGGCTATCTTTATTGGGACACGTTCCAGAACATTGCCAGGTGACGCAGACTGACCGAATCTTGCCCGTTATTTACGACCGTTCATCTCGGTCTCACAGAGGGTGACCCCCTCTTTAGCCCAAGATTACAGCTAACGGTGCTACTCATACAGGACCGGTCTACGTGCCGTCTGGGTCCATTGTATACACACTGGGAAACCCCAGTCATA